TCGAGAAATAACGGTAAAACAGGGGAGAGGACAATATGTCCACTCGCTTCCTGGTTATATGGGGGGATTCGCCCCCTTAAACCCATTTTTTGGGAGGGGGGCTGCTGACACCCCCCACCCCGTTTTACAAAATCTTCACCTCGTATGTTCCGGCAGGATAGCGCCCGGGCAAGCAATGCGTTTTCCAGTGATATAGGGGTCGTCGCTCCCTTAAACCCCCTATTTGGGGGGAAGGGGCTGCCACCCCCCATCCCCCGCTTGGTCCACAAAATCACCTCATGTGTTAAGGCAAGAGAGCCCAGACCCAGTAACAGTTTTACCCTCACCTTACCTTAAGCATTAACTCTTTTTGTCGCTGGGATCATCGGGGTCTCCCAGGTCGCTGTTGGCGGGAATCGCTGTTGGCGGGAATCGCTGTTGGCGGGAATCGCTGTTGGCGGGAATCGCTGTTGGCGGGAATCGCTGTTGGCAGGAATCGCTGTTGGCGGGAATCGCTGTTGGCGGGGATCGTGATCGCTGTCCGCCAGCGGACACCGGTGGGTTCGTTTTGCGGCCTCGACGAAGGACTGTTGATGGACGTGTGTCTTTTCTATAATTATACGGTATCTTACAATTCGGGCACAGTACTTCTTTAGGTAGTGCACCGTGATTTGCGGGTATAATAAACTCAAGTCGTTATTTCCATAAAATTTTGCAATGAAATCGAAATAGTTATCCTCATACCGACACACTGCCTCGGCATGATGGAAATTATTCGATTTTCATCCGCCTTCTCCTAGGCCCAGCTTACGTCATCCGCTACGAATCCTTTCGATTTTCCGTCGCTTTCAACTTTTTTTATCATTTCATCGCAACGTTGGGGGCGTAAGGAATCTGCGTTTCCTGGATGTTTACAACTTCATTATCCTATTATCAATTTGCAAATAAATTGCCATAGAAGAAAACTTTGATAGAATGATTGTTCTACTACTACTTGTAAGCTCAGATTCTGTTTTAGGTGTGTGGGAATGAGAGCCCGACACGTTACCACTGTAGTGCCCCGAGCTATTCTCTATTCTATTTTACGCATGTGCTTCTATAATTCTCAAATCTGAACCCGATGTGTTGTTTCATTCTAGGATTAGACTCGTATACAATTTCTAGAGCTAAGATTGAATATGACAGATAAGCAATTCATTAACTCAAAGCTTTTCCTTGTAGTGTCCAGGCTGTATGCCGTAGACGGACTTATACCACATGGTTTCCACCTCACTAATGTTCTATTGTTCACTTTTTCTTTTGGTATTTTTTATCATTATTTTACTTTGTCCATTTGGCTTTGTCCTTAAAGACCCAGTAGATCATCAACAAGGAGCGTTATTGTGAACCAGGCATTTTGTTTATCGCGCTCTGGGGTAGTAGTTTCTGCAAAGATTCGAAAAAAGACAAGTAATTCCACACCACTGTAAATCATTTTTTAGAATATCTGCACTTCCATTTCTATTAAAGGATAACTCCAAGCCATATACCGTAACAGGAAGCAAAAAAATAAAAAAGGAGTATATAAAGAAATTATCAAACTTAGAAAATGGAGTGTAAACAGCAAGTTCGGTGACCACCTCTCTGATGAGCTTAAACACATGGAGAGCCAAGCTCCAGCTGATCTGCGATACGGCTCCCGCCAATCACCGGGAAGCTCTCAAGCCCTCTCCCTCACAGAGGCGAAACCTTTGGGTGGTTCTTTCAGAGGGATGAAAGGAACCACCTGGAAAAGGTGCAAGACCTCCCTTCCCTCACTAAGATGAAACAGCCTTTGGATGGCTGTTTCAGAGGGATAAGCAAAGGGTTCCAAACAATGATGCCAATTTTTGTAAGGTGGAAGGGCTCCCCTCCTGGTCTCTCCCCGGGGGTTTACACCTACTCCGTGTTTGCCTGTGTGTGTTCAGCTTGTGCGCTGTTGGAGACGGAGTCCGGAGGTGTGAGCCATGCCGTGCATGGGTACTCCCTGCGCTAGCAACACTTCTCTTTTGGTCCTCTATTCAGGACTGGTTTCGCAAGACAGGTGCTGATCCTGGCCCTGTTCTGCCAATACGGCTGGTCTCCCTCGGGGGCTAGGGTCAAGCATTTGCCGCCGTTGGCACTTACAATGGCAATTGGCTGTGTATATCCATGCCTCCCCCAGGCACCTAATTCTAGGGCAGGACAAAAGAGAAAAGGCTTCCCGACCTCCTAAGAGGAAGGAGCTGCCCCCAGCTAACCGGATATCTCCAATAAAAGGATTTTTCCGGCCTATCAAATAGTGCAGAAAAGACTACCGGAATAAAGGTTCAAAAACACTACAAAAACCTCCCTAAGAGACGATAATCTCCTCTTTGATGAGGAAGATATGACTCCCCTGTTGACTGCTGTAGTTACTGCAGTAGCCTTGGAGAGGTCGAGTGCAGAGGCAGAGATGGCAGTCACGACAGCAATGACCCAGACTGTCGCAGTCCTGAAGGAACGAAGCTGGAGAGAGCCAAACCAGCCCCACCTCACTACAGGCAGACCTCCCCTTCCCACTCCAACACAGGCCATGCCCTCACAGGCAGAACCAAAGCAGGCTGAATCTGTGCAGCCAGTGCAAGAACATGTGAAGTTACCAGGTAAAGCAAAAAGAAAGATAAACACACAGACAAAGCCTGAAGTGAGAAAAATCCAATTAGCAAAAGTCAGAGCTACCAAAGGTTCTCCACCCCCCAGTGGACCCAGGGTTAGCCTGACAAAGATCCTCAAGCAACGAGGACTTCACAATATGATTATAGCGACGTCTCTAATGAAACTAACACCATGACACACAATCTAAGCATATACAGTGGAACATCAATGGCTTCTCGAAGAATGCCATCCTCCACGCAATAGTGCGATCAAGGAGCACTGACATTGTCAAGCTCCAGGAGAGATTAACAATGGAGACTTCGCTTTTCAGGGTATCATGTCTTCATGCTGCCACACACAACTGGCTAAAGAGGCTTGATCACCCTAGTCAGAACAACAATCCCCTGCTCTGCAACAGTTGATGCACCGTACTGTGGAGACGATGTTGAATCTCTTGCTGTTGAGATTCACTTGTACAATGTGTACAGCCGGCCAAACTATAGGAGCTTAGCCATTAGCCAGGTCTGTGCTGCAGTAGCACAGACCTGGATGATCATAGGGGAAGGGACTTCAATGCATACCACCCCATCCTGGCTCCTGAAGAGCACCGGATGCGGCTGGCTATCACATAGGCAATTGCTTGAGACATTCCCTGAGATTGCTCTTCTCCAATACCAAGACCAACACATGTCAAGAGGAGGGGTTCTAGACCTCACCTTGGCCACTGCGATTCTGGTGGAGGATGAATTAGCTTGGTGTGTCGATGAGGACCCAATAAACTACCTCATGGTAGTTATAGAGTGAAAATGTGGAAGTGCTTAAAGCCTGACTTATCAATGCCATAAATCAAGCAGCCTCACTGACTATACCTAAAACCTGGGTTCCAAACAATTCCAAAGGCAAAGAACCCCTGACAACCTAGTCTTCCTAAGGGAGGCTGTCAGGGATGCCAAGGAAACTGCCAACAGAGGCAGGAAAAGCGGCTAGAATGGTGTGAGTCCGACCAACGAACCACCCTTACAGAGCTATGGTAAAGGGTCAGCGAGTAATCAATTAATTATTTAAAATTATCTGCCGCGTCATTAGCGGCGAACACCATAGACTGAAATATTAAAATATTTAAAATGTAAAAAGTATCAATAAATGTCATAAATAACAATAAATATTATATTAAAAATCAAAGCATAAACATTATGCTCTAA